CTGGGAGAAATTGTAATGTGAAATTTCTAAATCCTGTTCTGAAAAACTGGGCCTCGATTGCCTTTCTTTTCCTCGCAGGCTGCAGAATGACGTCCATGTTTCACTCCAGCTCATCCCATCCTCCCATGGGACAGGGAGGAGAAATGGCTGCATTAGAACCAGTTCAGGTAGGGACTATCGAGGAGTTGCTGGTGGGTTCCTGCTGGAAGAAGAGGGGCAGTAAATACTGAGGAGGTGGGAACTTTGGGGGTGGGTGGTCTGGAGAGGGAAGGGAGCAGGAAATACACAGGGTGGAGAAAGGGAAGGAGATAGGCTGTGGAAAACCTGCGGGGACTTGTTTAACCTGGGGCCTGGATTCTAGGAACAAAATGGAAAAGGAAAGAGCCCCCCTGGACTGGGCTGGGAAAACTTCCCAGACTCCAAATGCTGGAGCCTGAGCGCTATGAGCCAGCGGCTGCTGTGAGATATGAAGGAGGCACCCACCAGTCAGGTTTAAGGGAGCTGTCCCTCCGCTCATATCCAGCTCCTCACAATGAGGAGGTTGTTGGGCTTCCTTCCAGGCAGCTGACCCTGGACCCTCCTAGGGGCTTCATCTTCTGTATCAGTCTCTGGCTAGTAGGAGTGTGATGGATCTGCTGGGAGAGACAAGGGGCTCTCTCTTTCTCCCCCCACCCTGGTGTTTCCTGGATGCTCTGAGTGGTGTGCGGGTAGGACTCTGTTGATTGTGATCCTCCCAGAGCTCCCATTTGATTGGCTCCTTTCCCCCATGAATAGTGGTGCTGTGAGTGGGGCAGCAGGCACTGAGTGTTGGACTCTTGCGCTTTCAGGGGCCGGTGACCTTCGAGGAGGTGGCTGTGTATTTCACCAGGGAAGAGTGGGCTCTGCTGGACCCCGCTCAGAGAGCTCTCTACAGAGACGTCATGCAGGAGAACTATGAGAATGTGACCTCGCTGGGTAAGGATTCCCGTCCCCTTGGTTGTTAGAAGGGGAAATGCAGAGTTAAGGTTCACATCACCCCCACAAAGCACCCTCCTCTCTTTTTCAGCATCACCCCAACATGCCAGTGACCCACACACCACCAGAGACCCTCCCCTGCTACAGAACACTTTGGGAACAGGGCACAGGTGCAGTTTACCACAAAGTATAACAACTTCTCTTTGCTAAGGCAAAACTTGGGGTTAGGTCCAGCATAACAAACAGAAGCTTCCAACCCCTGGCTGGCACTCAAACACTGAGCCTACACCACACACACCAGCTCAGACTAGCAAAATGATACCACTCCCTTACCCTCACCTCGAGGATTCCTTCTGAGTCATTGCCTTTACTTAGCTCTCACTAAGCCCTGGAGATTACTAGCATGTATCCCACTGGACTGCTGACAACCCTGGTGGCAAGAACATACCTTTGTGCACCTATATTGACAAAAACTACAATACTCAGCACTGAAATGGGGCAGACTAGGCCCCTCAACTTTCACATGTACCTCTCTTCATACCACAGTCACAGCTCTCCAAAGCTGCTCCAACTAATCCCTCCACCTTTCCGTTACAGCTACACCTGATAGAGTGCACACAGCTGGAGGGCATGCAGATAAATGCTGGCATTCCAGTTTGTAGAACATAACACAAATAATGGCATGTTCTCGTAGTCCTTCCTCGTATCTGTTATAGATTCATAGATTGTATGGCCATAAAGGACTACTAGGTCATCTAGTCTGTCCTCCTATATAGCACAGGGCATAGAAATTTCTTCCAGTTACTGCTGAACTGAGCTGAAGAGCTTGTGTTTCACTAAATCATCTTCCTGAAAGTCTTGACTTAAAGACTTCCTGAGATGGAGAAACCTCCAGGTCCCTTGTTAGTTTGTTAACATTTGCACCACTCCCAGTGGCTAGTGCCAGGTCCAGGGTTAAGGGGTGGAGGGCAGAGTTAAGGTGACATTTCAGGGGTGACGTATATTTTAACTTTTCATTTCCTAGTTTTCAGAAGTTTAAGTTCATATTTTGTGAAGGGATGTTGGAACACTGAGCAACCTTAATTCTGAATTAAGGTAGTTTATGGGCATTTATTTTCCTTTTTTTATGGGTTTTTTTGTCATTAGAACTGTATCTACCCTACAGATTTGGCTGGCATAGCTATGTCAGTTTGGGATGTGATTTTTACACCCCTAACCGGACATATATATGTTGGCAAATCTTTTAAGCAGATACTAAACCAGAGTCTGCCTTTGGACTTGAGAGCACTTTAAAATGTTGCTCTTAACCCAGAAATTTTGGTATCGGGGCAAAATTGCTCAATGAAACTCCTGCAGAAAGCAGGAGAAATATACAACATGTGTTGGTTGAAAACTACCCGTGGTAGGGTTCAAACTCAAAAGCACAGGTGTAGTTCAGGTTCAGTGACCACAGCACGTCCTCTGGAGCCAACCAGTGCTTAATTTGTTATGAAAGAGGTGCTGGGGCTATGAACTGCCTAGTGGTGCCGGGTCAGGTGCCGGGTTAGGTGCCGTGACAGCTGAGTCCTAGAAATCTAGTGGCTCTTAACAGGGTCTCGGTTTTGCGGCACATGTGCATTTCGATGTCTTTGATTCGTCTGTTCGGCTT